TTTGAGTCCCGTTGCACTGATTTGAGGTTGTTGTCTTCGAGTTCTGTTGTTTTTCCGTACCAACCGGGTTAATTTGCCTTCGGGCTCCTTGAGGTAGCAACAGTTGCGTCCCCCGTAGCCATGTTGAGGATTTGCCATAGCCATTGCTTGGCATATTGGGTGTGTCTCAAATGAAGCCACCTCAATTAGGGAGCCCTTGAAACCGTCAATGGCCCACCATAAGCACACCATCAGAAGATGGGAGCCGCTTCTATGTTGAGAGCTTACAAATCCAAAAGTTTCAACTGGTCTCGTCTTGTGCTTCTTCTCATCTTTCCCGGACCTAAGTACCTGGCAAGGAGAAAACCCGGCGCTTTGCCAGCCGAGGACCTGTGTCATGGCATTGCTGGACTCTCGAGCCTCCCTCGAGGCAGAGGACGAGGACGGAAAGAGACGCCGGGAATCACACAAGTGCATATTGTTTCTGAGGCTTGGTACCCTATGCTTGTGGAACCACTCCAAGAACCAAGCCGTTTGGTGTGTGTTTTCAGGCGAAACCAGAAGGAAGCCACGAAAATTGGCGTTTCCGAAATCCGGGACCCTGGGTGGTTAAAGGACACAAACAGGGATCACGCCTTGGAGGAGTCCCCTAGTTGTTGACTCTCCCCGCCAAGTCTACATGGACAGGCCCACCGGAGAGAGGCTGCAGAGCCGTGGCTTTAGAACAGGCAGCTTATTGGTAGAGAGAGCTGGATGCTGTACATGGGTATGCATCAAAATTGGGACCCCCTCCCTCAAAAATGTTTGGCGTCCCACAAAAGAGCACGACTCCAAATGTTGCAAGTACACCCGTAGCCACAATGTGCGTCAGGGTTCCCTGTTGACACGCTTGACTAGAGTTCAAATCCTGCGAAAGGCCAGGCTGGTCGGAAGACTCGAGTCAGGCTCAAAAAGCATAAATAGGCTCACTTTGTGTAGACACCACCCCAACTTGCACCATGTTTGTTGGACCACACCAGTCTCTCGGAGGGTTCCTTCTTGTGTACCGGATTGGTGCAGCTTCCCGGACCAGAGGCGCCTCCAACTGCCTTTGAGTTTAGTGGGTTTCCCCAAATACAGGTTCCCTAAAGCGGGTTCCCCCCCCCCCCCCCGCCCAAAAAAAATGAAGTTTCTCAAGAACAGTTCAATGGTCAACCCCACCCCCTTCTCAACCTTTCGGGTCACATTCAACAAACCTTGTTCAAGCTGCCAGGACGGCGCCACACCGCTGCACTACGCAGCGCTCAGTGGGGATCTGGACGTTTTCAAGGTGCGACGCAAGCATCACTTGATTTGCTTAGTATATGACAGTTCCAACGTTCCAACCATACATTTCCATCGATTTGTCTACGACATGCTGGGATTGCACTCTGTGGGGAATCGTCCCCGGCCGGCTATTTCCTGCAGATAAATATCATTTCGGACCCTTTCGGGTAGTTTCCCTAACGTGTAATCCCAGGGTGTACTTCAATGGAGCCACCCTTTAGTATTGCGCAGCCGCCCTTGCGACTCATGACATGTTTTTGGGTATATACAGTTGAGCAAATCCACTATGCTAACTGCCCCCCCGTGGTGGAAGACGAAGGGGGATGGGATATGCCATGCCCATGTTAGGCCCTTGTTCCTTGTTTGCCAGAAGTGTCCAACACTGGAGTTCCTTTGTGGCTGATCTACAAGAGGACGAAAAAGAGCCCAAGTTCAATTCATGTTTCCGGCCCATCGCAGGCGTTGATCCTCGCTGGTGCGGATCCCTCCCTGAAGGATGGCATGAAGCGAGCGGCGCTGGCCGGGGTCCCGGCACGTGCGCTCGGCAAATCGATGCGGTTGGCGCTTTGAGCAGTTGGTGCGATGTTTCGAGGGTCCGAGGCGCTGAGACCCCTCTTTGCACCCCTAAAAGGCGATTCTGAAAGGGCACTTGGAAACTGAGTGGAAGGCTTTGGGGAAGAAATGGAAATGGTCTTGCCACCGGCCCACCTCGGGCACAGTTGATTCTTTCAACATTGCAAGTAGTGATTCCCACGTTTGGTGCTTGGTTTACTTGTAGGCAAAAAGCCAGCAAACTCTGCATCAGGTTGCCGGTCCCAGTAGAAAGGCTGCCAGAAGGTTTGTGGACTCGACCGTTTTGTGGGAAGGCTTGCCATCAAAGAGAGTGCACTTTCGACCCAAGACCAAGCCTTTGTTTTGGGAAAACGGCGGGTTCCTGTGCACTGTCAGACGAGGACGCCTTGAATATTCATGTCACTCAATGCTCATGGTAAGCTGCAGCGAGGACACCAACCATCAAGCTGTGCAGTCGCCACGTTTCACTCTTAGAGGAACGACACATCCATAAAGCAAATGACAAATTTGTACCCGAGAGGTGAACATGGCTGGTGACTCGCGTGGTCCATTGGGAGAAGGTGTGGAGGTTTATCAGGCTCAAGTGACTTTAAGGGACATGGGATGGCAATGGGATTTGCTTACAGGAGTCAAAGGGTCGGGAAGACAAGTTTGTATTGCTGAGCTTCGCTCGTGCGCATCGAAGTGTCGTGATTGGACTTAGCGAGGCAGCTTGAAGTTCGTCTTGTACTCATCACGGATTTGTTCCAATCTCCACTGGGGGTGGTGCTAGGTTTCGGCCTGTGTCGGCATCCCCTTTAACCAGCTGCACTGGGCCCAATTTGTTGCCACATGTTACCCCCCTCCCGCTTCTTGGAGTCATAATGAAAACAGACACAGCCCATGGCAAGAGCACACCTTGATGTAGTACTGTGGCAATTCTGGATTTTGGGTTGCTGCTGGATTCTGTCGGCACAGCAGTTCAACCAAACTCAAGTTCTGCAACTTGAGCTTGTGGGGCTGGTGTTCACAGCACCGACACACCTCACCGGGCATCCACCCATGCTGGGCAATATTTCTGGGTTCAAAATCAATCTTTCTGCCAGTAATGACTTTCCCTTGCTGTATTGGTGTCCGCCAAGCTTGGGAGGGAATCCACAGTTTTTTTGCGAAGCGCTAGGATTATTTGCCCGCCCACATCAAGAAGGACCCGGACCTTCAGAAGAGCTGGATCCTCGGACCTGGGTGCTGAATAGCATGTCCCCTCCGACTGCGTTGCCTTTTTTCAGAATCGGAAGCCGGTCGATCTGTTGGGGGGGGCACCGTGAACCTCCAGTTGGGCAAATGGCCCAATTCGAAAACCATGGCTCGCTAGTTTTGCTTGTCCCCAATTTGCCCACCTGGACCCTACTCCTTCAAAAATGGGTTGCCCCAGTTTGAGAGTTCACATGTGTATTGCCCATGTTGGTTCCTCTTTTTTGCAACCACAAAAACAGCCGCCGTCTTTGGTTCGCAGGTTGGCGCGCCGTGTTGCGGAACGAGCTGCCCTATGGCGTCTGAGGACTGAGCGAAGCCTGTGGGGTCCAACCATGAGAAGTAGAGAGTTGGTAGTCCTCTTGGGAGTCCAACTTTGGACCCTTTACGAATGAGAGACACCCAAATGTGGCAATGAGTTGCAACGCTTTTGAAAGCCGAACAGACTTGGGGGTTGCATGGAAACCATATATAAATGATGTTCACCAAAGGGTTGCCCTTGTCATTTGTGTTCCCGCTCAACATGTGATGACTGACAGAATCAATTACAATATACCGATGTGCTGGCAAGAAGACAAGCTAGGTGTGAAATACCACTAGAATGTATGTTATATTGTGGCTAGCTGTACTTCCTGTTGGCCATGGACAAAGGAACTACAAGGGGCAAATGTATTTATCAGGACGCCCGACGGAGAAGCTGCCACAGTCACTTCCATTGCCCGACTGACAGGCAGTTTACATCAAGTTTTTGCCAGCGATTCTTACGTCACCCCACACAGCAAGGAGCGTTTCTTGCGCGCGCGTTTCACACCCGGACAAGACGTGGCAAGTGGCGGGCAATCACATCAGCAGCAGCTGGCGGTCAGCACTTTTTGTTTCGAACCCATTGGTGATCGCATAAAGCCCATGCTTGTATCCGGGGTGGGGCAGTTTTCGGCCAAAGGATTCCAAGCGCGAAAGCCCCGCAAGTTGTAACATAGGTGTGCTGGCTCCAGGCCCGCAACAAAATTGCGCGTGCTTGGTACGGTGGATTTCCGAAGGCAAGTCCGGGGAGCCTCATCAAGTAAAGCTTCAGACAATTCTTCTAGGGCCATTCAAATAGCCGCATAGACTGTGAGTTGCAGAACTTTCCCTGATGCTGTTTGCCGTAGCTGCCAATGTGCAGCAGTCAGTCAGAAACCTGAGCGTTTACACAGCCGTGCAAAAAGCAGGCAGTCCGCCGTTCAGTTCCAGGGAAACTGGTGAAGGGGTTGGGTGTCCCAAAGTTGGGGCTTGCGTTTGGATGTGAGGCAACCAACTACAAAGCAGAGAGCCCATGGCGTGCCCAATTCTAGGAAGCATTCCTAGGGATTTTCCTTGTAGGGACCCAAGGGAACCTTGCAAAACTCGACTGGCACCTGGAATCCTCTTCGATTGATGTACCGGCTTCCGGTTTCCTTGAGATCAAAAGGGATGCAGTCGGCCCGGAATACCGGGCTTGGTGTTATTTTGCATTGATGGAAAACATAGGTCAGGACAGGCAACTTGTACCTTACCCCCGAAACAAATCTCATGAAATACATACTGTTTGCCTGAACTTACTGGCTGGCTCGCTGGTCGGCTTGCTGGCTGTTCGGCTTGCTCGCGGATTTGCCTGCTTGCGCATTGTTTTCTTGGCAAGGAGCCCACATCCGTCCCACACAAGATCTTTGTAATCTATAATTCATCAGAAGATGCCTGAGATGCCTGCAAAGACAACTGTGGCAATCAACTGGGATCGGGCTGGTGGAAGGTAATTATGGTGGGATGCCCTAATTATCGCAATTTTCTGTGTGTTTCCATGGTCATTGTGGTTGAGCATTGTTGGTTTGCTTCCAACATTCAGGACATCCACACAGAGAAGCGCATAAACTCAGCTCCTCAAACTCTCGAGCTCAAGTCAGTGCAGCTTTGCGTGCACCAAGCCTCAGGTGTCGTGCCCGCAGTGCAGGGCGTGGGAGTTGCATGACCCTCAACCCATGAAACGGAACGGGCTTTTCCAACAAGAAAGTAACATGCGCCTGGACCCTCGAACTTAGACATGGGACATTACCCCATAATTTTGGGGCAGGTAGCCCGTACGCATGCCTGTCTGCGTCGGCCATGCTGGATCCATGACATATGATGCCCGTGCAACATATTGGCGTGTCCTTTTTGGGGGAGCCCCAAAATTGGTTGGTGTCCTGTTAGTTTCCCTTCAAAACCAACCAAAAAAGGGGGTACCTTCAAAAAAACTCATATAATCGAGGCTGGGATGTGAACATATTTCACAGATCGGACCCCTCAAGGCATCAGCGACATGCGCTGAGGTGAGTATGTCTGATGCATCACCTGGCAATGAACGCTTTAAGCAGTTGCTGAATGAGCTGACCGAGGAACATGCGCCTTGGCTCAAGTTTATATATGTGCGTGTGTCAAAATGTCGGAGACCCCAAACAGGTTCTTTTACCTAGTGGTTTTGGTTTCGTTTTAAACCAACCTCAAAAAGGGTAGCCTCAAGAACCACACACAAACTGACGCAAGTTGTCTGGTCCACCCAAAGTGAGGATTCCGTCGGCCAATCAGTCGGCTCCGGGCCCCTTGAAAGATGCATTGAGGCCAGCTAGAGCGTTACTTTTACCAGCTGTCTTCGGATGATCTCCTAACCGCAGGTTGGTTTTAGGCTAAGCAACCCTGGCACTTGGCTTGGACATATCGGACATTCTGTTCACTTGCCTTGAGAAGGCTTTGAACTTAAAGATTCAAAAGGATTGGGCATGAAACCTCGCCGTGTCCACAGGGTTTTCGCTAGACATTCGCGCTGGACGTGCAAGCTCTGACCTCCCAACTTCTCGGACCCATTGCTGCCCTGCAAATGAGCATGGAACTCAAAAAAGCGGTGTTGCAAAGCGGAGTAATCCACGTAGTTGCTGTTTCTTGAGTCGAGAAGAGTGCCACGAGTCGCCCTGAGGAGACTGCCTTGGAGGACTTGAAAGCCACCGTTTCCGCGCTGCGCGAAGAGCTGGTGCAGCTGAAGAAGGGCTTCCCCTCCAAGGAGTCAGCGTCGCTTTCGCGATGCCCTCAATCACTGGGAGTCTCAAAAGTCCAAAATGTTCGGCGCTTCAGCAATGTTAGCTTTGTGTTTCACGTGTTATTTTAGATTCAGCTGAGTATGTATTTGATTTTACAGATGACATAGTTTTGACCTTGCGCATAGGGTAGATGGTCCAGCGGCCAGTCCAAGGGGATGCATTTCTGGGAGCCACGATCAACATTCACATGTTTTTTCATTTACCATAGAAGCAGAATGACAATGGATGCACACACACACACACACCAATGTATCATAAGGCAACGGAGTTCTCATGTTAGTTGGGAAGACAATGGATATTGACTGTGGCTTATGTCTGTTTTCTTGTCGGTTTGGCCAGAGATAGATGGGGTCCATTGGTTTCAAAGTGGTTCCATTAATGGCCTGCAAAGGACAAGATTGATGCTGATACCCAGGAAGGTTTTTTTGTGCCTGGCTCAGTCTATACTGGTAACTTGGATTGTGTTGGGTACATTGAGACTGGGAACCATACTCTTCTGCACGGGCTCGCATGCATGTTCCAGCCCCTTCGTTAATGTACCCATGGCAAGACTCTTGTCAGGGCATCGATAAATGATCGTTTTTGCGGTGCAGTGAGAGAAAGGCACTGCCAACAGGTTGAGGGCCAAACTGAAGACAACTGGCTCCCGAAGCGGCTCCAGATTCTCCCTGCTGTTGAAAGCGACTCAAACCACCTCAAGTTGAACTTGACAAGGGGTCAATCGTGACTAGCGGTGTAGATGGGATCTTCAAACCTTTCGCCCATACAGAGGAGACAATTGCGACCTTTGAAAGCTGCGACGCGCTGCGGGAGGCAGGGCAGTTGGTGTGTGACGTGTTGGATGCGTGAGTCTTCTCGGATGCTGGGCTTTCTCGGCAAGTGCTTGGTACGCTTGGTTGTAGCTATGAACCTGGACCCCCTAACATCAGTGATCCAATTTCTATGGTTCCTTGAGGGTCCATGCATACCAACCGCAAACAAGTCAAGCCTGGTGCTTGCACCACTTGTCAAGGCTGAGTATCCTAAATCGCGGTCGCAGCTCATTGGAAATGCGAGGTAACGATGGCACGAGTAACTTTGTTGGTGGGCCTCTTCTGTGGCTTGCAAGGGAATCACGAGCTTGCCAGATGCAGTCCACTTGTCGGCGCTTTGATAGGGTAAACCAGCAGAAGGCTGGCCTGTTCAGAATCTACCCTTCATCAGTTTGCCAGCTGGTAGTTGTTTTTCTTGTTGTAGTGGTGCCCCACTTCGGATGTCGATTAAGAGAATCGAGCTTCCTCATCTTAAGCAGCCCATTTTGAGGATAAGTTTGGCTTGATGTGTTTTTGACGCTGCACTTGCGAAGGTTGGTTTAAAGGGGCATCAAAAAGAATCCCGTTTTTGGGCCCCCCTTTACCAACGAGTACCCCCGTTTTTCTGGCCGCCTGGCCTTGCAAGTCAGCCAGGAGGCCTCAAAGGAGAAGCAGGAAGAGTTGGGTCAGCCGCAGGCACGCCGCGTGTCGCGCACGCCCACCCCGGACCCAACAGGCCCCACACGACGCAACCCACACAAACGAACAGCATCACAAGCATCACCGAACTCAGCCCCACAATCTCAGACCCGCACTTGCGATCAATTGATTGTCTCTTGCTGTGAGTCACAAAACGAACCCTGCGGCTCCTTCGGCTCCTTTGCGCACCGCAGGTGGAGGCGTCCGAGGTCGGCAAGGCGCCCGGCCTTCGATTCGATGGGCTCTTTGGCACGAGCGCACACCACACGCCGCGCCACACGACATGAGCGCGCATGCACGCACAGACGCAGACCCAGACGCAGACGCGCACACACACACACAAACACGCAGACAAGCAAAACAACAAGCAGGCCGGTCCCTTTGAAAAATGCGGAGCCCTGTATGCAAGTCAAGGTAAAGAAAATGCCAGTGGGCATTATTGAAGCTTGACTTGTGTAGTTGTCAGCCGTATTTTTTAGTTTTTTCTTCTCTGACTTGAACAGTGCCTAACAAGTTAACACCCGACCACCTGCAAGCAGTGAACAGCCTCCTGAAAGTCGCGGAGCAACACAAGGAAGTTTGTGGTTTGGTTGGGTTCTATTTGATGACCATGCGAGGTTTCTCGGCACTCGCTGAGTTTCATCCAATGTTCAGTCGATTGTTCTGGGCAATAGGCAGCATCCCCAGCAGCTCAACTGTCTTCAAATCGGGGCTAAGCATGTGGCTGATCAGCGTCAAGCTGGTTGCTGTGGTGGTGGGGATGCAATGTTTTCTTTAAGATCAGCATCGATCATTGTTCAGCGCAGCATTCGAGGAATCTATTGTTGTATGGTACTCTTCCGAGATCTCATGTCGTCTTGCGTGGAGATGTCTTTTGGAAACCAGCTGCCCTCGAGAGAACAAAACGCTTGGGGGCAGGCGAAACCACTGTTGGCTTGGCCAGCCTGCTGAGTGCTGTAGAATTCAGTTCTGCAGTGGAAGGGTCATTGCTGAGCTCGTCATGCTTCAATTGGCGGGTGTGTGCGCCCAAGACTCTGGGAAGCTGAGGATTCTTAGACAAAAACGGGTGTTCTGTTTCCGATTCGATGGTTTGTTCCTAGTGGTTCCCCTAGGCACCCCTCTTGTGAGCAACTACAGAAAAGTATCGACTTGGAAAGGCCTTGGTTCCGGCAATTGCGTCTTCATTCAATTCTTTGCTACTTGTCATTCAATTCTTTGCTACTTGGCGCGATACAGTACTTGGAGTTTTGTTTGTTCTCGGCCATGCAATTTGCTCGCAGCCAAATTCGAGCGATTCCGGTGTTGAGACACTGCCGCCATGTACACGCCGCAAAGCATATACACACACATTCACTAACCAACAGAATCACACACGCAGACGCGACACGCAGGTTCGAGTGTGAGTGCGTACTACATTCTCCGTCACGAAACCGGCAACATACGCTGGGCGTTGATTCGGTCCGCTGCTATGGCTTGCGTGTGCAGCCCTGTCTGGTGCTGCTGCTGGCCTGGCAGTTCGGTGCTGTTTGCTTGTGGTCATTCACCTTCTTCCAAGCTGGGTTGGGGCAGGCCCAGATTGTAGCCCGGACTTCGCGGCGGGTGCGCGAAAGGCGCCAGCCAAGCCCCCGGCCCTGGCCGCAGCAAAGAAGCATAGAAGGAGAGGGCTACACAGCTCCGAGGATAATCACGAGCCGCATCAAGAATGCCGACTCAGCTTCCCAGGTGTTAGATGTGATTCAGGCTGAGCAGGATAATCCGGAATTCAACCTGATTTCGGTCTCTGCGGCGTGGAACAGGCTGGCGCAGCTCCAGCGCAGCATCAGCACAGAGATGACGAACGCTCCATCATTCCGGATTCTGTTGAGCCTAACTCGTTTGCTGTTGGACACGCCATCAGGGCTAGCTCGCGCAGTAGCAAACACGCTTTGGGCAACGGCAAGGCTTCAGGGCTGCGTGTCTTTGCAGTTGCTTGCGACGTTATGGAACAGTTTGGCACACGCTACCAAAGCAACTGCGAATGACATGAACGAGCAAGACGTCGCCAACTCGTTTTGGGCGGTTGCAAAGCTTGCCACCACGGATGAATATTCGGACACTTTGTTGAGCTTGCTACCTGCATTGGCAGGCAGGGTTCCATCAGTAATGTCGAAGATGACGGCCCAAGCAGTTTCAAACGTGATTTGGGCAGTCGCAAAGCTCGTTGCCAGCGAGCAACAATCCGAGGCTTTGTTGGGCCTTTGCCTGCATTGGCGAAGCGTGTTCCAACCGTGATATCTGAGATGACAACCCAAGCCGTTGGAAATGTGATGTGGGCAACCGGGCAGCTTTCAATAGATTCCAGCCATGCTGCCATGTCCCAGGGCTTGCGTGATGTGCTTCCCAGTTTGGCAGCCCGGGCTTTGGTGCTGCTGCCAAAGTTTGATCCGCAAGCGCTTGCAAACTCCTGTTGGGGGCTGGCACTCAGCAACTACCATGACGCTTTGTTTTTTGAATCTGTAGCAGCAAGGGTGGCGAGCGAAGCTGCTGGGTGGCAGCTAAGGCTGGCTGAGCTCACTTTGCCATCTGTGCTGTGTTCCTTTGCAAGGCTGAGCGCTGCTGAGCAACCGGAGATGCTAAACGCGGCAGCCGGAAAGCTGAACCTCATGCTGAGCAAGATGAACGACTGGGGCCTTTGCGCCACCCTCTGGTCGTACCAGCAGCTGGACCGCGGTGACGACTTCCTCGCCTTCCGGCAACGCCTGGAATCGGAGGTGGCGCGGCGCCAGCTTTCGAATGAGGACGTGAAGCGCAGCCGCTTGGGGCCGGAGGCCTGGCGGATTGATGCCAAAGAGGCCAAGGGCCGGTGAAGTGTTGAGCGACAAATCGCCAGTGAGGAAGGCACCATATTTTTCCACAATTCGCTGTTGTTGGGGGAAGGACGTTGGGCACACTCACAAAACTTCTATGTGAGTTGCAAACTGCACGGACTTTTGTCTGCTCATGTGTGTGTGTGTGACGCGGTTTTTGTTGGCTTGATTTTCCAGTATTCTGTTCCCATCTCTTTGGATCTCTTTGAATGGTTCACTTGGGCCTTTGCTAGAAAGTCAATATGGACGTCAGTGACGTTATTTTGACTTGTAAATGCATCCAGCCAAATGTGGGGTGGAAGCGGCGCACCCAGCCCCGCTGAGTGCAGGGGGTACAAGCCACTCCTCGCACCCAGGGCTGTCGAGTGACCCTTGCAGACCTGTGGATGGCCAAGACTCACTGAAATGCTTCTTTTGAGCTGATGCAAACGGCGTCGCCCTGGCAAAAAGGTGGTTTTCGATTTAGCATTCAGGGAAAGGAAGGTTTCACCAAGTCTCGGCACGTGATGGGTGGAAGGCCTTTGCAAGGAACCCTTTTTCGAGCTGAAGACTCATTGTGCGGAAAGGAACATCTTGGTACAGATAGCCTATTGGTGGGCCTCTTGCCGAGCTTGCAGGTGAACAGCGAGCTTGTCAAACGCAGTCCACTTGTCGGCGCTTGACAGGGTAAACCAGAAGAACTCTGGCCTGTTCAGAATCTATCCTTCATCCTGAAACTAGATGGTCGTGGTTTCCAATGTTGTCTGGGTGTTCCACTCCAGATTTTGGATGACGAAACTTTAGAGCCTCCGGCTCAGTCCGCAGACATTGCATTTCCCATGAATGTCCCCTTCACGTGCCGTTCATTTTCCTTTCACCCCCGGGCCACAGCCCGAAATCCACGCCGTGAAGTCATGTGTTGAGGTAAGTGCCAGCAAGCTTTTGGGGATAAAGAGAGCTCAGGTCCTTCACTGATTTTCAGTGTTCAATTGACAGTAATTTGCCGAGATGCCGTGCCCATGGTGTGTTTAGAGAGTAAAACAAGGGCTCCCTGTTCAGAAAGATGTGGAGAAAGGAAGAAGTGCTTTGAAGCTGTGCCTTTGAGAGTTTTTCCATGCGAGCGGCACAGGCGTTTGCTTCTGCCCAGCCTCGGGAATTGAAAGAGATGAACACGGAGGCGCAGTGGGCGTTTGTTTCTCTCATAGGACTCTTCTAGCGGCTGCCCCCTCCAAGTACCAACTTGTCTAAAGATTATGTTGACCCCTGACTAAAAAGGATGTATTTATACATATCTATATATATATATATAATATATATATATATATATGTATGCAACCCCCCCCCATGGACCCCGGTTTTACTGCCTTTTGGGGATGGCAAATCCAGAAATTCAAAATTTATATTCTCGAAATTTCCAATTATGGGTCCCCAACGCGTGATAACTTGGAGCCCTGAATCCTCCACAATGTCCCAGTATGATACCCTTTCCAAATAAGATGTTACCTCAACTAGAATTGGAATGTTGAATATAGTTTAGTATGGATATAGTTTTCAAAAGTGTGTTTATGTTCAATTACAGCTTAAACAAACAAATCCTTTCCAAATAGCAGCTACATGAAAATGTAAATATATTTTCGGCTAAACTCCAACTAATCTATAACACAAGAAGTTAGATGGAAGTTGTTTCCGAAATATAATCTAAGTTTAAGATTTATTCTAAGACGAACACAACTCAATTTGCTTTTGATAATATCAAGTGAATAGAGACTACATCTCAAATATAATTCATATTAAATATGGCTAAACATTTAAGGGACATCTACAAGGAAATTCAAAATACGATGTGTGCTATTTACATTCTGGCCCTTTTGTAGCACAAGAAAGATCCGACATTGAACTTGTTAGACGGTGTTCCAAAGGGAAATTTCAAGGGAAGAGAGGTTCAAAATCTAAAACTATCTCGAAACAGGGATTCTAGCTAAACCGTTGTATTTAAGTTATATTTGCGCAGCAAAGTTAATTCTATCTCAAAAGGTGGAGGTAGTAGATGAGCAAATGTGGACAGGTAGTTCAAGAGGGTGGGGGACGGTGTGTGAACGTACATACATATGTATATCTATATATACACATACATACACACATATATAGTACCCCCAATGATCCTGCGCCTCCTAATAAAACACTGGAAAATACAGTATTTTTGAGCTTTACACCTGCCTTTGTTTGCCTCCTGGAAAGGGGTCAACATGAGCATAGCTGACATGAAGCTCACCAAAAGCACTTGAAAGTTTGTCTTGCCAATAACTTGAAAGTGTGTCCACTGGATCGCTAAGCACTTGAAAATATGCTACTATCGGATGGAAGATTCAAGATTGAAGATTACAAAGAAAACTTTCCTGATAATTGTCAATCCTGGCCAAACCCAAGTAACATTCAAGTTCTTCTAACACTTGAAAGTGCTTTACCACTGGATTGGGGATTCAATATTGAGGAGCCCACAAACCACCACTTTCCTGAGAATAATCCATCCTGGTCAACCCCTAAAATGTTCAAGTTGCTCTATCACCTCGAACATATTCTACCACTGGATTGAAATATTTCACGGAAAACTGTTCCGAGAATCTTATTGAACACCGAGAGTATTGGGACAACCCTGGATTTGTTTAAAACTTTTTAGGATTCAAGATTCAAGATTCCCAGAACATATTTTCTCCGATTCTTGAATAGTGAATTCATAAATTGTTAAAAACTTTTAAAAAAAACATGGGATTCAAGATTCCAGATTCCCAGAAAATATGTTCTCACATTCTTGAATCTTGAATCTTGAATCCCATAATGTTTAAAACATTTTAAACATGTCTGAGTTGTTCTTGTATTCTTGGATGCATTCAAACTCTTTCAGATTGCAGATGCTGAATTACTTGCTTTTATCACATTTGTATGCATGCATGCGTATCATATACATGTATGACCCCCCCCAATTGTTTTTTGTCACAAATCCAAGAAACAACAAGAAACATAAAACACTGGAAAATACAGGTCAAACGCACCAAACCAGGGTCCATGGAAGGGGAACCATATATATATATATATGTACATATATACACCATGACAAACTCATTTGTTCAACAAATATCCTTGAAGTGTGGAGTAGGGGGTGGGTCGAAGGGGGGGGGAGTCTCAATTTCGACATTTGCCCAGTTCCCAATGCAAAGCGCATCGTCTTTTTGACGTGATGTAGCGGCATGCCTCGTTGGATCAAACCTATTGAAGCCAAATACATTGCGTTCTTCTCCAGCGATACAATTGGTCGTTTGTAGCTGAATGCGCACCTGCCATTTGCTGCCCCCGACATGTCTTTTGCATCAGCATGTGCGAGCAAGAGAAGCGCTGGCAGTCAAGTGGCATCAATGAACAGTGCTTTCCAGTGAATCAGTGGCTATTCACCTCAAAAATCATAATGACATCAGCGATTCTCTGCTTTGAAAGTCACCAAGTGGGGACCACTTCCCACAAGGCTCTTCCGTCCCGCACGCTTCAGGATGAGGACCTTAACCCAGTGGCTTAGCTGAAAGCTGAAGGGGGGCTTGTGGTATTGTTCCCTGACCTTCGGGGGTGCTTAGCGATTGCATAGTCTGAGCCTTGGATACACATGGAAATTCAGAACGCGCTGGGTTCCCTTGGTCAAACGCCTCTCCGGAGATTCATGCGGGTTGAGTGGGAGGCTTTACCAACATATTGCGCTGTAATCCGCCCATTTTGGTCGGGGGGCTGTCTATTTCCTCGTTTTATGGCTTAAACATCACCTTTTTGGCCAACCAAGGCCAGGTGAGTTTGCCTGGGTAGGGGTGGGCAGGTAGACAGATGGCTGGCGATTCTGAAGGCTCATCGGCCCTGGGCACCCTCTCGTGCTTGCCTCTGTTGCATTGCCTGGATCCATTTACCCGTGTAGTAGGTAATCAAGGGAACCACCCTTTAAACACCAAAACGAAAATGGCTGGTTACCTACTATCTGGGTTGCTGGGATCCACTGGTTTAGCCATTGTATTTTCATAATCTGTCTAACCCTGGCTGTGGTTAAGTTCTCGTGGCGCATGTTTTGGGGCTGGCTGAGCATGCTGTTGCTGGTGCACATATGTCATGGTCATCCTTTTACCAGGTGTTGTTAGCAAGGGACGGTCATCAACCCTGAATAGTGAGATTGGACAAATTGGTAAAGGTTCCTATTGAGGGAGCCGGGACTGTGACCCTTGCAACCACAGCGCACATGGCGCCAAGCTACGGTTTGACAGCTTTTGGTTCCGTTTCCCTCCTGGGTCCCTTCAAGTGAACACTAGGGCTGCTTACTTCTTGGGACCCCGTGGTTTTCCTTACCGGTTGTGTAGTGAGGGTGTCACTGTCGACCCAGTCTTCATGTTGTGCAGGAAGCCGGCCTAGGTGAGTGTGACGGTCTACTCTGTGACCGGCTTGCCCAGCTCAGCGCTAGGCACGGAACGCGAGCTATCC